TTCTTTCTCCAATAATGACGCAGCAATACGTGAAGCTCAAAATTTGTGATTTCGTAATCAGACATCTTAAAAAATCAATAAATTTTCATAATAGCCACAAAACCAGATCAAAAACACAAAAAAAATATATAAAAAATCATTATTTTAACACGGCGCACGAACTTTTTCCTCAACCTAATAGAAATCAAAGTATCAGTTTGAGAAGTATTTTAACAAAATAAGCGAATCATGTTCAATTTACAAACTCTGATATGACCAACATACGGAAACTATCCATACATCCTGTGATTCCAAGCAGAGACAGTATTCTCAAAAATTTGAATGAACAATGGTAGAGTAGTGATACATTATAACAGCAGGATCCCATCATATAAAACCGTACACAGTTCCCATCATAGACGCAACAAGAAACGTTTGTTTACACGATTATGTGCCTGAAAAGTCATCCGTTAATCAATATTAGACAGAAAAGAGTTGTCGTACGTAGCCATTAATAGATTAGAATAGTCTATAAATTCAATCGCGCTACAAGAAACATTTTCATATTAAAAAGAAGTGTGTAATATGTACAAAACCAAGAAAAATAAAAAATACTTTATCTTACCAGCAGAAAAAAGTAAAATACATATAAAAATAAAATGCGGAATGACTATGGACAGTTTTTAAAAATTTTGATTATAAAAACCGAATGACGCTGAGATTTTAAATAGGAACAATAAATGATCATCGAGTGTCTAAATTTGTTTTGTTTTCTTTCGTAAAACAACAAGTAATGGATAATGGATATCAGGTGAATAATTTTCATTCGTTGATTTTGCCTAAATAGAAATGAGGAGTAAATTTGAATCGAAGCAATAAACTAAGCAATTAAAGAGTCTTTTTACGAAGTTTAAACACAGTTTATTTAGGCAACTCACCGGTTTGATTTAGAAAAGTCACTGTATTTTGTTCATTTAATTATTATGTGCAAATGAGTTTTTAAAGGCAAAGAATTTGCTCAAAATAGAAGGCAATTATGTATTCAGAAATTCTTCTTGTTTTCGTGTATGGTCCGTCCGATTGACGGTCAACGTTTTTGTAAATGCGCTACTTTTTCCCAGCACTACAGCACTTCGGAGAAGTTTATATGTTATAAGTTCGAAGACGTCCCACTTACAAGAGCAAATATTTTTCTGTTAATTGATGAGAAAGCAAACATTCGCAGTTTCTCTCATGCCTGTTTCAAACTAAATCTTCCATCCAGCCTCTGCCTTAGCAATCTTTCATCTGTACATCTACCGAAGTTTGCTTAAAACACAAATTGAATAAAAAAATGTTTGCTTTCCAAAAATGAGACGTCTTTGAATTCTTTATGAACTTTCGTCTTCACAGTTTAGAACGATCAATATGAAGAAAACGTAGCGCACTTACGGCTTTACGCCAACGAGCCGTCCAATTCACGTTTTTTGTTTGTCTATAAAACGTAAACTTACTTCAATATGTTTCTGCCAAACACAATCATCGTAATAATCATATAGATCGCAATCAAAATAATTTTTGGCTATTTTAAGAAATTTTTCTAATGTTTCTGCTCGTTTTGGTGCAAAATTGATCGATACACCCTGAAAAGAGGCATAAATAAATAACTAGCAGAAACTATTATAAAAGACATACTTCATCTTTTAACATGTATTGAACTGTATGACAAAAATCATGATGTAATTCTTCGAAGAAAAAACTAGAAGCAAGAAAAAGACGATAAATCATTTAGAAAGTGATGTGAGAGTGATGAATTTTCTTTCTTGAACAAATGACTCTTGTTCATATCAATAGAATTCTTTATAAATTATCAATTTATATCTCTAATTTTCGTCAGAACTTTTCAATAATATTTACTCTGCTTATACAAAATAGTGCGCTTACCAGTCAGCTGATAATACAAAATCAAATCGTTCTTTTAAATTTTCATCAGTTGTATTTCTATTCCATAGTAATATTCGAGATTCAATAGGACATAACCAATCATCATTTTTCTCCACTATTGCCGATAAATCTATAGACAGAGAACAGTGAAAATATTTACAAGAAATCAAAATGACGATTTTCTAGTAAAATAAAACATTTTGAGTGCAAAGAAAAAAACAAATAAAAAATACTTAATATGTACTAGCAATGCTTTTTTCGTTGCCATCTGTAGCCAAGAGCTCTTTTAATGCAACACATTTTGCAAGCTAAAAATAAATATCGAGCAGAAACAAACGAAAAACAAATCATGCAAAATAGACAAACACATGCATAATGGAGCAAAAGCTTCAAGAAGACAATATGTTGAAAATTCTTTAAAATTGTTTTTTTTTCTTTTCATTAAATTATTGCAAACCAACTTCTCACACTCGTCAAATCAATTATGATGCTTTCACAGTCAGTATGCTCTCTAAAGTAGTCGTCAGTACCAAATTGAGCAAATAAAATATAGATAATGTGCGATAATAAATGTAACAGAGTAGTCATGCTCCTTATATTTACATCAACAGTACTTACTGTTAATGCAGCCAGACAAGTCATACCACCTCCCACTTCACATACACTTTTATTTCTAAAATAGATAAAAAACATTTTTATCAGAAATAAAGATTTTGGAATAAACAATGTACAGTTGCTTCTTTAGTAATACAACATATTTACTCACCTAAATACTATTTTTGACTTAAGACAATAATATGTTAATATTTCCTCTGATGGCCATATACCTAAAGAAATAAGCAATTCATTCACACTCTTGTTGCGATGGACTATCATGAATTTTATTTACATGTATTTCCCGTATTGTTAAATCCAATCAAATCTTCATAACCAATTTTTGTGGAACATAATCTAAAAAAAGGGAAGAGTGACATGAATTTTCTCTGTTTCAATAGAATAAAGTAGTGAAAATTTACCGAATGCTCAATTTTAAATCTGGTTCTATTGAAAATTGAACCGTACACCATATTGATTCGTCTTCTTCTTCGTAGTTTAGTGTTTTTGTATAAAAATGATAGGTTTTAAAACGCATCACTGAGATATCTTCGTAATTACTACTGCTGGCAATATTCTTATTCAATAGAATCTGTAGAAGAGCAAAAATCATTTCACAAAATTGTATACACATTCACACAAATACTTACTTCACCTAACATTTTCCATCGTTGTTTGGCTAGGATGGACATGTTTCCTAGAACTTTAACAATCTAAAAAATAAGAAACGAGACCGTTATCAAAACTAAAAGTTTTTGCCAGTCTGGGGATCATATTATGAAAAAACTTAAGCCGTGATTTAAAACTAAGTTTAAGACTAACTTAAGTTAGGGGACTTAAACCATATTACGAAACGACTTAAGTTGCTTATTTGTTTACTTTTTGAAAGTCATTGGCAACAGTGACAGACTTTCAAAAAACCAGACTTTTAAAAAACAAAAGATTTATTCTCTAAACTTTAAAAGGTTGTTTTCGTCGAATCATATTGTTAAATGCCTGAGCTATTCGAAAAATGTGTCAATGACTTAAGTTTTCGGTCTTAACGTTAAGACTACAGTTCCCATGACTTAAGTCACTCTTCGACTTAAGTTTTTTCGTCATACGACCCCCTGATTATTTGAAACTCTGAGACAAACTGTATTTGCTTAGAGACAGAAATTTTAGAACTGACAGACTTTTAACAGCAGATACAGTCTGGAAAATGAAAATTGTGCAAGGATAACTAACAGTTTTGACTTCATTCTGCGCCTTTGATAAAATAAGCTAATGAACTTGTGCAGTATTTTTGAACAGAAATTTGGTTATGGTGAATTTTATATGTATATTCCACTTTGGAATCAACAACACAGTGGAAACTTACAGTTAAAACTGAAATTACAGTTCCAGTTTTTCATAGTGGACTATAGTGGCAAGTCCACTTGTCCACCGTGCTATTAAAAACAGTGGTTTTGTACACTGAAACTCATATCATTCATTCTTTTATGAAAAATACCAACAAATTTCTCTTGAAAGTCGAATTCTACGAGGCTTTAATTGAACTAATGCCAAACAAATAGTGTTTAATGAATGAATGAATGAATTTTATTCACGAAAAGTGAGAGTCATCAAAGGTCACCGACCTATAAAACAATGACTCGAGCCAAACAACAACAAAAGAATCTATAAATAGAAA